TCATTTCCTTTACGGCAGGACATATCGTAGAACTGACATGGAGAAGTTGAATTGCAGGATTGTTCGAAGGACTCTGTTAGAATGGTACAATATCTTAATAGCGTTTGCGGCCTTCGGAGTGCTTGCGTTAAATGCATCATTTGCATCACATACTTATTTCAGCTACGAGCATCTGTTCTGTTCTTCTACTGTCAACTTCCAACGAGAGAAGAAGCCTTGATCGCTGTGACGAAACGTTTATACAGGGTGTCTGTAAAAATGTATACACATTTAAGATAAACGTAAACTTGGTTTTTACTATTACTTTATTATTTAAACAACGCAATAATATTAACAAGTATGATTTTATTGTTTTTTCATTGCATTTTGATTATTGCAAAAGCAGCCTCTCGGTGTTTAACCGAATACCAAGGACGTTGTTTCATGGCATGAACATTCCTATTGCTTTGCGTTGTCAACAGTTTCATGATCAAAATGGACGTCAGTTTGAAAACGTTAAGTGAAAATGCAATAAAGTGATACTTTTAAATATCTTCACATTTAATCAATAAGAAAATTAGGATGAACACCAGTTTTACAATAATGTAAAATGTGTATACATTTTGGTACACGTTTTGTTTACTTTGTGCTCAATTTAAAATGCAGAAGTTTAAAGATTAAAATGATAGGAAACATGAGCATCGTCAGGGGTTTCTCGGCAGTCTTCCATTAATAAACCTAAGTAAACCGTACGCAATATTAATTGCAAGATGATTGGCGGGCTTTCAAAATTGAGCTGCCATGTTTAAGTGTTGGTCACAAACACTTTGATACAATTGTAGCTCTCATCAGGACCAACAAAGCAACAAACTCGAAGTTCAATTGTACAGTTTTGCACTGAATGACCGAAGGAACCGGATTTATAAACCTTGTTAAGTACCTGTAAGATAGAACTCCTATAAGTTTACTTTGCAGATGTACCCGCAAATTTCTTGCTGACGCAATTGGACCTTGAATTAGAAGCAAACTGGTGGCCCCAATATCTGACTATTTTTCGGAGGCTGAAGTGCAAAATGTGAAGCTACATCTCAGCCCCCATTTAATCCAAGGTTCTGTTTATACTACATACAATACAATTGCAATTTTAAAAAACCCAATTGGAATTGCTCCACTAAACCCTCAAAGATTTACATTCGAAGCAGAGGCAAACAAGCATCTTATATTCTTAGCTGTCCTCGAACACAGAAAGACCGATCGGATACTACATACTTGCGTGTATCGCAAAGTTGCGTACTCCCGAGATATCTAACATTTTGGGAGAAACCATTTAAAGTAAAAAAATACGAAGATCTATTAACAGCTTGCGAATTCATGCAGAAACACATCTATCGAATAAAAAGGCAGGGCGAAGAGAAATGAAATATGTCCGCAAATTATTTTCCAAAAATGGCTTTTCTCCGGAAGATCTTCGCTGATATTTAGGGTGCGACCGCTTAAACGCCGAAAACAGGTCGACGAAGCATAGCTACGAATACACATAATAATTCCATGCAAGTGACATATATCTATTTCCCCCACAAAGTTAAAATTATCTGCTTACACTCCAACCACCATGTAATATTGTTTTTGTCATCGTATTTAGTTAGATGTTTTCGTACCAGCTATTTAGAAAACAAGAGGGTATAACACTCGAAAATGCACACAATGTGTCGAAAGTTGGAAGTTCAAAGTAATATAAGTTGATGTTGAATACGTTCTTCGGAAAATATAATTCATGACAAGCCTTTTTTGCGACTGGAACTCCACCTGGTCATTAGAGGCAGAGAAGAGTAGAAGTGCCAAAATCAACTATCATCGTTAGTGCACTCAAAGCATTGACACGTAATTTCACCTTTCTATGAACACAGTGGAGGGCGTACAACACTCAACACCTTCAAAGACAGCAGAAGACCAATACAAAAGGCAGTGAGCACAATCATTAGCAACAGGCATCACGGGAACCTACCTCCGGCACTGCACGACATGACGTCACCCTGCTCACCACATCCGACATGTTGAGGCTCTGTGGATAAATCTGGTAGACTTGCTGGTCCACAGGCAGACGCCAGAATTGGTCCTCAATCTCAGCCATATCCTCGAAGGAGAGTAGGCGTGGATGTCTGTCATATTTCACCACTTTGCTGCTGGTAAAGCGGTCAAAGCGGCTTGTTGTGACAGTTGGATCAACTACTACCTTCAGCTTCAGACGGTAACTTCCGTTAATCGTGGCCCGAATAGGAGCGTGCCAGTCACTAGCGCAGACGACTATCCCGCTGTTGTCGTCAGGAGGCGTAGAGGAGTTCCAATCTGCATTGTGCCGCGTCAGTTGGAACAGCCAGTAAAATAGAACGAAAGCGAGAAGCAGAGAAAGGTTGAGCCAGTGATAGTCTATCAAGCCTCGAAATCGGTATAGAAGTCGATACGAACAGCTAGGTAGCAGAGGCGTCATTTTCGCAAGTGTTTAAAAATTAGAGCATTTTGCATGAAACTTGTCTGTCAACGGCTGATGAGCTCTAAGCTCTGACGGCTGCTCCAATTGGCTAAGAAAAAACTGCGTGCGTACATCTCTTGCCTGTGGAAAGTTACGCATTTTCGTGTCCACCACCTTTGCGCGAATCTGCCTGCATTTGTCCAAAACCAATTATTTTTTCCGTGAGACGTGACACATGTTCGACTCCAGCATAAGATCGATACAGCAGGGGGTCAACGTCCTTGTAAGACGGAGGCCATCTTGAACGTGCATTTGGCTTTTACTTTATTGGGTGGCATAGTAGATTTGGTGCAATAGCCACTGCCCTACGAAGATAGGGAAGGTTTCCTCCAAATACTACATCCGAATGAGGTGGTTTAGTCAAAATAAGTCAGATATCGTTGCACGTTCATTTATGGAGATGATTGGTTGTGAACAGTGTGCTTCTTCCTTAATGAAAATCATCCGCATTGGTGATTTTCATTAAAAAAATTACTTTAGCATGGCTGCAATAATGATTATTTTGCAGCTTTATTAGAGGATACTGGTATTAAAATGGGCCTCCTGGCTGTTTAAGTAGCGTGCATTCTTCGGTTTTATTTTTGATACCTATTGCATTCCAAATATTTTTTTTCAAAATCATTCACTTACATAGTATACATTGTATTCGTTTTGTAACCGATGACGCCATTTCGAATTTCGTACTTGAGGAAGGATATCTTGCGCTTTTAAAAAATCAGTATATATTGTCAAATAAGTTGGATCCTGTTGGTAATTACACGATAAACCAAGTTATCTAAACCACACGCTCTATGCATTGGTTATGTAAAATCATAAATGTCGTGCTCAACCACGCTGGAAGAGGAAGAAGAAGAGGGTGCAAGTGCTAAGACCAAATTGTATTCATGATGGCATTTCGAAATATGCTCGTTCTCATCGTCAGAGCGTGGTGCTTACTCTTCCGCCGGTCTTGAATTAAGGCGCCTTGTCGTGAGCGGGTGTTGTACACATGCACGATGCCCGTGCGTTCGTTTGCCCGTTGGCTGTTGATTGGCACCATCCTCTC